TTGACTCCCTCCATCTCGCTCCCACCCTTCCCCAGGCCTTTACCCCGTTATTGTCTGTGTTGATGGGTTATGCATATATGCATATAACTTCTTTGGTTAATCTCTTCACACCCCGCACCCCCTCCCTCTTCCCTCTGAGATATGACAGTCTGTTGCATGCTTCAATGTCTCTGGGTCTATTTTGTTTGTCAGAATATTTTGTTCATTAGCTTCTTCTTAGAGAAGACGCTTAAACATTTCTTGTAATACTGATCTGGTGGTGATGAACTCCTTTAGCTTTTTCTTATCTGTGAAGCTCTTCATCTGACCTTCAATTCTAAATGATAGCTTTGCTGGGCAGAGTCATCTTGGTTGTAGTTTCTTGCTTTTCATCACTTTGAATATTTCTTGCCACTCCCTCTGGCCTGCAAGGTTTCTGTTGAAAAATAAGCTGGGAGTCATATGGGTGCTCCCTTGTAGTTAACTGCATTTCTCTTGCTGCTTTTAAGATTCTCTCTTTGTCTTTAACCTTTGGCATTTTAATTATGATGTGTGTACCTCTTTGGGTTCCTCTTATTTGGGACTCTCTGGACTTGTAAGTCTATTTCTTTCCCCAGGTAGGGGAAGTTTTCTGTAATTATTTTTTCAAATAAGTTTTCAATTTTTTGCCCTCTTTCTTCCCCTTCTGGCACCCCAATAATGCAAATGTTGGGCCTCTTGAAGTTTTCCCAGAGACTCCTTACACTATTTTCATGTTTCTGGATTCTTTTTCTTTTTTGTTCTTCTGGTTGGGTGGTTTTACTTCCTCATGTTTCAAATTGCTGATTTGATTCTCAGCGTCTGCTACTCTACTGTTGATTCCCTGTAAATTATTTTTCATTTCAGTTCGTGTGGCCTTCATTTCTGACTGGTACTTGATTGTCATGGGTGATCTCACTAGTTGCCTTAATAGTCTTACTAAGATCCTTGAGCATCCTTAAAACCATTATTCTGAACTCTGTATCTAGTAGCTTGCTTGGCTCCATTTCATTTAGTTCCTCTTCTAGAGATTTCTTCTGTTCTTTCACTGTGACATGTTTGGTTGCCTCCACATTTTGGCTGCTTCCTGGTTGTTTCTATGTATTAGGTAGAGCTACTATGTCTCCTGGAATTTGTAGAGTGGCTGTGTAGTAGGTGTCCTGTAGGGTCCAGTGTCTCAGCCTCCCCAGTCACCTGAGCTGGGCCATCCAGGTGCTCCCCTGTGTGGGCTGTGTGCACTGTCCTGTTGTAGTTGAGCCTTGGTTGCTGTTGGCGTCACTGGGAGGATTTGACCCCCACGTCAATCAGCTGTGAGGACCCACTGCAACTACAGCCAGAGAGCTGCTGTGCTGGAGACACCCCTATGGAGCAGGATTTACTTCAGTGGGGCTTTGGTGTTCACCAAGTGCGCCCCTTGAGTGTCACTCGTGGATGTGGTAGGGTTGTAATCCAGCGTGGTCGAGTCTGACCACCAGGTGCACTGTCTCTGGGNGTGCACTGTCTCTGGGGCCTCTCAGGAGGTGCAAAGTCAGTCTCTGCCTGTGCCCTTCCCAGGGCCACCCAGTATGAACTACACAGTAGATGGCTGCTATTTGTGCTGGGCTGGAGGTGCCCAGGAGAGGTCAAGCTATGAACCAATGCAGGCTGCCACTAGTGCCAGGCCTGGGGCCACGTATCAAGTCATATGGGGCATGCTGAGGCCAGCTGCTGCTTGTTTGAGAGATTTTAGGAAAATCCTAAGCCTGAGACTCAAGAGGCCACTTGCATAGAAAAGTCCCTGGAAATGGCCTGGATGAGCTGCAGGTAGGGAGGGGCAGGGTCTCTGGGAATCACCAGGGTGGGGCCAAAGGTGTGAGTCAGGTGCTGGAGATTCAAATATGGTGCCTGCCTGCTGGCTCTGTGGGGGGAAGGGCTCTTCATAGGAGCAATGGCCTCCGTCAGCTCTTCTGCCGGGGAGAAAGCTGCCCCTCCACCTCTCACCCTGATTCCAGGCAGGTTAGTTCCTTCCAGAATGTCCCAAGTTCCCTTCAAGCTGCTGCCCAGGGCTGGAGCTCAGAGGGAGCGCATCTGAGTGAGTCCGTGCATGGGCCCTTTAAGAGGAAAGCCTGGGACCCCCGCAGCCACAGTCCCCACTGGTTTTCACAGCCCGAAGTTGTGGGGACTTCTCTTCCTGGCCCTGGAACCCTGCGCTGGGGGCCAGATGTGAGGTTGGGACCCCTCCCTCCTCCAGGAAACCTCCACCACTGAGATATCCCTCCTGAGTTTACAGTGTAACACCAGGTGTGGCCCCTCAGCCTGTCTCTGTGATTCAGCCCCTATCCGCCCACGTCTCCACCCCTCCTACTGTTCTCGGTGCTTCTTCAGTTCCCTGGTTGTAGGACTTCTGTTCAGCTAGACTTCAGGAGGTTCTGATGATGGTTGTTCTGTATTTTACTTGTAATTTTGATGTAGTTGTGGGAGGCAGCAGGCACAGCTATTACCTGCGCCGTCATCTCTGCATCCCAATACATTTTAATTATGGTCATTTTATAATACATTTAATTATGTTTTCTGTAGTGACCTTTCTTACCTTTCCCATTAATCTTCTTCTATGGAATTTCCTGGCTATGTTGACATGTCCTGTTTGTTTACATGTAATCTTTAAAATTAGCTTATCTAATTTCAAAAACACCTGTTGCTATTTCTATTTAGAGTAATTTGAGGAGAATTTATACTTTTATCATGTTGAATCATACCCTACCTAAAAATGTATCCAAGTAGAAGTTTAAATTTTCTTTGAAATAGATTCTAATTTGAGACATCTCTAAGCATTATAAGCCTTGGAACAAAGCTCCTCCTAGGTTACTAGCGTGTTTCTGACTGTATTTTTCTTTTTGTTTCATCCTCTTAATTGGAATGGGGGAAACAACTACAGTTATAGCTATTTCACCCAAGCTGGCTGATTCTCTACATATACTTTCTTTAAACTGTTGCTTACATATAAACTTCTAGGAGCATGGTAGGGTTCTAATAGGGGCTATTCTTATTTTAATCCTTCTTTTTCTCTGTTAGTAGTCTTGCTAAATAATTCTGCGATTGCTCCAAAGGGGCAATCTTGCTATCTTTAGAGAAACTGTAATTAACAACTATTATCATACATACCTCTGGAAAATTCTCTCATAGCTCTGGAGGTTCTCCTCCTCCTAATCTAGTCCACTCTAAAGGTATACTTCCTTTTCTGATTCTTAAACAGTTTAAGAAATAAATGGATAAGGAGTCCCCTGAGTTGCTTAGATAGATATAAGGGGGTTGGGGTTACAGAGATGAGCCAGGAGACATTCTAAATGTGGGGAGTTATGCGAGAGAGGTTACATGATACAACAGCAGCCCCAGGGAAGAGCAGTAGAGAAATAGCCTACTTCCTAGGTCATTTTTTTTCTGGGAAAATTCAGAGTTGGGCTTAATGCAGAATAATTACTTTGACTTTAATCATGGGATTGGGGGTAGGGAATAAAAAGTAACACTGTCCAAATAGGGAAAAAAGAAAAGAACATAGAAATATAGTCCTTCTGTTTGTGGAAGTTGTTTGTCGAGGACGAGGTGGTTCAGCTCAGGCTCACAAGACTCTTCAGCGGGTAAGCTGGTTTAAGTAATGAGTGTTGCATGGGCTGACGGCGGCAGTGCGCACTGTTCCCTCAGCCTGGCCGGGCTCCTTGCTGCAGTGTTCTTCACCTTGCCCTTCCTCTGCATCTGTTTCAGGTAGTGTTCAAGTACTGCGAACTGCATGCATTTGTGAAAGGCTACCAGGGTCTGTACACAATGATGATCTTCATGCTGTACGGTTGGTCTGTTGTTCCTCTCATGTATCTGGGAAGCTTCCTGTTTTCTAATGGCACTACTGCCTACATCAGGCTCACCGTCTTTAACTACTTTTCAACTGTTTTCAGCCTCGTCGTTCACGTCATGATGAAATTCTATGGTAAGGACTTTCCACAATTTCCCCTTTCTCTAGGAAGTACATTAAATAAATGAGGATGGAGGAGCTAGAGAATAAAAATATTAATTGTGAAGCACTTACTTTCCAGGAATTTGAAAAACTATGCTTTTTGGAACACAGCAAATATTTATTCAGTGAGTATGTGAGAGAGTGAAGTTGAAGGAGAGGGAGAGAAAGGAAATGGGGAGGAGAAAGGAGGTGAGAGAAAAGTGCTAAGCCCCCTGAAGGGGCTGGACTTAGTGTCACTCCAGTTCCATGAGAGAAGAAGGGTGAGAAACTACAACGTAAGAGTGCAAACTGTTTGCCTCCTTGGAAATAGTCCCCCTCTCCCAGACTTGGTCCTTCAGTTCCAAAATCTTTTTTTTTTTTTTTTAAATATATCTTTATTGATTTCAGAGAGAGGAAAGGAGAAGGAGAGAGAGAACTAGAAACATCAATGATGAGAGAGTCATTGATCGGCTGCAGCCCGCAACCCGGGCATGTGCCCTGACCGGGAATCGAACCCTGATCGCCTGGATCCTAGGTCGATGTTTAACCGCTGAGCCACGGCCGGCCGGGCGCAGTTCCAAAATCTTAACAGCACTCACTTGGGAGCAAGGTAGGGAGGTGGGAGAGTAGGAGGTCNGCAGTTCCAAAATCCTAACAGCACTCACTTGGGAGCAAGGTAGGGAGGTGGGAGAGTAGGAGGTCCTGTGGGCTGACTCCTGCCTGATTTAATGCAGCACATCTTGACCCTCTTAATGAGATTTTTTCTGAAGAAAACAAAAAAATATGCAACAAATACAGTCATCATTAAACCATTTTCCCTTCCTTTGAGACCTGATTTTAGCAGGATTCTAGGAGAGGATAACTGCTGGTAATAATCACAAATAGGATTTTTTTTTTGGTTTTAGAACATTCCTTGGCTGAACTCCTGTATCAACATGAACTTTGAACTCTATTCATCATTACAGCTCTGCCTAAGTGGCAGAACTTTGCCAAGAGAGCTTCCAGACTCATTCCCTAACTTTAGTTGTTGGCCTCACACAAAAGGAAACAGTGTGTGTGGTCCAAGCACAGCTTTTAATTCTTTTGCATGCTTCTCCGAGAAGTGCTATTATGCCCTGTGAGGAAGACTTGAGGCCCTGCATAGGAGGCTAAAAGCCAAGCAGGACTTATGAACCCATGCTCATTCCCTAAGTCAGTGGTATTGTTATCAATCACTTTTATACTATCTATAGACTCTACCAAGTGTTCTGCCCTACTACAGCCATGTGCCACATAATCATGTTTCGGTCAATGACAGACCACACATGCAACAGTGATCTCATAAGATTATAATGGAGCGGAATTTCCTGTAAGTGGAAGGATATGTGGTTCAGGAAAAAATTTTTTCTCTGATTGGAGCAATATCTGTGGGGCTTGGCAATAGATTCCCTCTCACTCACAGCACTTCAGTTTTGAGAGCGCAAATGACATTCCAATCAGTCAGCCACTGACCTGTTTCAGCACAGAGGAGCCTGACCCCCCAACGCTACATATTCAGAAGATGCTACAACCCTCCCAAATATGGCTTGATGGTCTTCAGAGTACATTATTGTAAATTGTTGAGGACATAAGATCCTGTACAAGGACACAGGTCCACAGAAACTACCTCAACCAGTATTAAGTGCCACTGACACTTTAGTAAAAGCTTTCTGCATTAGGGTGGAGCCAGCCCGTCCCTGGACTCTGGAAATATTTTCAGGTTGTAATGATGTACAGCATAGATAAGTTATATTTCTTACATCAGTTCAATGTCAGAGAGAGCCCTTGTGCCAGATAGGGCCAATGGAACCAAAAACAAATTTCCAAAGTCAAAACATTGAATCCTCAGTACTATAACTCTCCATGTTAAACACCGTCTTTTTTATGGATACCACGAAGTTCCTTAATCTGACCTCTACTACAACATGCAAGAGCCAAAACCACAGTGCCATAACAATCCCCAAGGTTCTTTTCTCTCTCCATCTTGGTTTTATATTCCCACTGCTCTTCAGAGGCCCCTTCACTCCCTCTTATTACTATTATGGTGGTCTGTTCCTCAGCCAGCCAGCTTCTCCTCAGTATTTCCAGTCAGTTCACCCCACATCCTACCCATGGAGCAGCATTGACAGATTTCATGTTTTATTTCTGAACCTATTGGAAGGAAGCAGGGGGAGGGCTTGTGGGACAGTATTTATAAAGTCTACAGTAGTGGTGAGTAATCTCCTGGGTCTTCACATTCATTCACCACTCACTCACTCACTCACCCAGAGCAACTTCCAGTTCTGCAAGCTCCCTACATGGTAAGTGCCCTTCTCTTTAACTCTATAATTGACAAATCCATGCTACAAGCTATCAAGGTGAACAAGCTTACTGACTTAAATAATGAGTGTTCTCAATGATCATCTGCTAGATTGGTAATTCTCCTGGAATTGTTTAGTTATCTTGGGGAAGTTTTTTATGGGAGATTCATTACTTTCTTATAATTGAAGCTAATCTATCCTCTTTTTATTTAATTTTTAATTAAATGAAAATTTATTGGGGTTACATTGGTTAATAAGGTTATATAGGTTTCAGGTGTACATTTCTATGATACATGATCTGTATATTGCATTGTGTGTCCACCACTCAAAAATCACAGGCAGTATAATTCCTGGGACCACCAAAACCTTCATAGATAATGTGTTACTGATGCTTCCTAGTTACCACTTTGCAATGAGTATCAGCAAATTCTTTGATGACTATGAACTAAAAAAACTATGTGTCCACGATTTTAAAAACATCTATGTGAACTGCACTAAAACACGTGAGTATCTGGGGCTCCCCATATCCTTAATCACAACCTATTCCTTTCCAGACTTCCACATTTAAGCTTAGGTTGTGGAAAATAAGAAAAACCTGTTTATTCTGCAGTGGAGAGGCTTGCTATTTTGAGTGGTTTTCTGCACCAAAGTTACTTTTACAGACTTGGGGGAAGGAGGGAAATGAATCCTTAAAATAAAATCCAAGATAAATTTCATGAGGTCACAACCAGACTTAGAATGAGTTACTACCAGTCACTCACCTATTATGTGAAAATAGCTTTACGTACATTATTTTGAATATGTACAGCACCCTTCAAGTTAGCTAATATTATCCCAGTTTTATTCCCAATGAGGAAACTGAACTCCTCCTTATTTAAACTGGAGATTAAATAAGTTCCCTAAAACACTAAGCTTTAAGTGTCACACAGATAAAAGAAAGGCAAATTCACAGATCAAAATGAGGGGGGGAAAAGGCATTCTATTAAGTTTTCTATATTTTAGGTTGATTTCATATTTCAGACTGATTCTAAAAATTGATAAGCCTATTTATTGTGTGTGTGTGCGTGCAATTTGTTGTAGAAGCAAAAAATTTATATGCAGCCACAAAAAGAAAAATGTAATTTTATTTCACTAAATCTGCAGAATAAAATATAATTATTAGGGTCAAATTATATTTTCTTAAAACCTCTGAATAATAAAAATGTCACATTTTAATTTGCATCATATTTGGATTGTAAAATCCTCTCTCTGCTTTTTAAAAAAACTCTATTGAGTTATTATAAGTCACCAGCTTTAATTAATTAACTTATTTACTTCATTTATTATTTTTAGTAAATTTATAAAATAGTGCAATCAGTACCATAGGGCAACATGAGAATATTTCCATCATTTGAAAAGGATGCTCCATGTCTGTTTACAATTAATCACCATTACCATGTCCATTCCAGGGGCCACTAATATGCCTACTGCCTGTATAGAGTTGATAATTCTGGATATTTTCTATAAGTAGAATGGTTTTATATCTGCATTCTTTCATTTACAATAATGTTTTTAGGTTTATCCAGGTTATAGCAGATCTCAGTATTTAGTTCCTTTCTGTTACTGAACAGTATTGCATTGTATGGCTGTATCTATTCATCAGTTGATGAACATTTGTTTGGACAAAAGTTGTTAAGGGTGTCTTTGAAAGCGTAAAAGTTTAGAATGTTGAAGGAGTTCAAATTGGCTGCAGAGTAGGTGGAAGTTGCACTTGCCTCCTCCCAGGACCATAACATAAGAGAGACTAAAGTAGGGAAAAATCAACCTGAATAACCATCTGAAGACCAGTTGAACAGAAGTCTTATAACTAAGGATTTAGAGAGGAACCCCCATCAAAACCAGTAGAAAGGGAAAATATAAAATGCTTCCTGGAAACAAATGAAAAGGAACACACAACAACCCATAATCTATGGTAGAGGAGAGTTGATAGCATTACAGGCTCACCTCAAGAAATAAGAAAAACCTCTAATAAACAATCTAACCCTACAACTAAAAGAAATAGAAAGAGAACAACAAGAAAAGCCCAAAGTAGAAGGAAGGAAATAATAAATATCAGAGTGAAAATAAAAGACAAAGAGGCCCCCAAAAAAATACAAGAGATGAATGAATTCAAGAACTGCGCCTTTGGAAAGATAAAGAAGACTGATGAACCTTTAGCCAGACTCATCAAGAAACAAAGTGGGACTACCCAAGTAAATAAAATACTGTTACTTCAGACGCGAAGTAACAGCTGACAACTGACACTACAGAAATACAAAGGATTGTAAAACAATACTATGAACAACAACTATATGCCAAAAGGCTGGACAACCTGGATTAAATGGACAAATCCCTAGAAACATACAATCTTCCAAAACTCAATCAGGAAGAATCAATAAACCTGAATATGCCAATAACAACTGATGAAATTGAGGCAGTAATCAAAAAGCTCCCAGCAAACAAAAGCCCTGGTCTGGATGGCTTCACAGTGGAGTTTTACCAAACAGTCAAAGAACTAACACCTGTTTGCCTCACTGTACCAAAAAATCCAAGAGGAAGAAACACTTCCAAACTCTTTTTATATGAGGCCAGCATTATACTAATCCCAAAACCAGATAAAGACACTACAAAGAAAGAGAATTATAGGCCAGTATCCCTGATGAACATAGATGCTAAAATCCTCAACAAAATATTAGCAAATTGAATCCAACAATATATTAAAAAAATCATACACTGTGGCCAAGTCGGATTTATTCCAGGGGTACAAGGCTGGTACAATATTTGCAAATCAATAAATATGATACATCACATAAATGGAAAGACAAAAATCACATGATCATATCAATAGATGCAGAAAAGGCATTTGACAAAATCCAGCACCTATTTTTTATAAAAATGCTCAACAAAGTAGGAATAGAGGGATCATACCTGAACATAATAAAGGCCATATATGACAAATCTACAGCCAACATCATACTCAGTGGGCAAAAAGAAAGTTTTTCCCTTAAGATCAGGAACAAGACAGGGNAAAAAGAAAGTTTTTCCCTTAAGATCAGGAATCACCACTCTTATTCAGCATCGTACTGGAAGTCCCAGCCACAGCAATCAGCCAAGAAGAAAACATTAAAAGGCATCCAAACTGGAAAGGAGGATGTAAAACTGTCATTATTTGCAGATGACATGATATTGTACATAGAAAACTCTAAAGACTCCACCAAAAAACTACTAGATTTAATAAATGAATTCAGCAATGCAGCAGGATACAAAAATTAACACCCAGAAATTCATGGCATTTTTATACACCAATAATGAACTCTCAGAAGGAGAAACTAAAAAAACAATTCCATTTACCATTGCAAGAAAAAATTAAGATACTCAGGAATAAACTTAAGGAGGTAAAAGTCCTGTATTCAGAAAACTACAGGACATTAAATAAAGATATAGAAAAGGATATAAACAAGTGGAATCGTATACCATCTTCATGGATTGGTAGAATTAACATAATTAAAATGTCCATACTACCCAAAGCAATCTGTAAATCAATGCAATCCCTATTAAAATACCAACAGCATATTTCACAGCTCTAGAACAACTACTACAAAAATTCATATGGAACCAAAAAAGACCCCAAATAGCTTCAGCAATCTTCAGAAAGGACAAAGTTGGAGAAACCACAATACCAGGTATCAAGTTATACTACAAAGCCATTGTAATCAAAAAGTCTGGTACTGGCACAAGAATAGGCATAAAAATCAATGTAACAGAACAGAGAACCCAGAAATCAATGTAAGCCATTATGCTCAATTAATATTTGACAGTGGAGGCAAGATCAGACAATGGAATAAAGACAGTCAGTTTAATAAATTGTGTTGAGAAAATTGGACAGGTACATGCAAAAAAATGAAACTAGACCACCAACTTACAGCATACACCGGAATAAATTCAAAAATCATTCAAGGACTTAAACGTAAAGTGTTTATTTAAGCTAAGTGTTATTACAAAAGAGTCAAAGAGATATAAGTTTTTAAATGTTAAATTTTAAAAGTTACAGTAAGCTAAGGTTAATTTGTTATTAAAAGAAGATACTTTTTGTAAATTTAGCATAGCCTAAGTGTACATTATTTATAAAGTCTAAAGCTCCATTTAATATAACGTCTCTATATACATGTACCTTTATGTTACAATTGCCTGCAGTATTCATACAGTAACATGCTGTACAAGTTTGTGTCCTAGAAGCAATAGGTTCTATGATATAGTAAGCTATACCATCTAGGTTTGTGCACTCTGTGATGTTCACATAATGACAAAATTGCCTAATGACACATTGCTCAGAAAATATTCATCTCTGTCATTAAGTAATGCATGACTATGTAATGAATATGGACAATAATGTACCTTAATGATGTACTGTGATAAATATTGCTATATCAGCAATCATTATAATACATAAATGTATCAAACAAACATGCTTATATCTTAACTTACACAATGATACATGTCAAATGTATTCACAAAAAGAGTTACAATGAGATATCACTTCACACACACTTGGATGGCTATAATCAAATGTGGAAACTATTAAAGGTTTGGTAAGGATATGAAGCAATTGTTACTCTCACACATTGCTGGTAGGAATATAAAATGTTGCACCTGCTGTGGAAAAGTTTGGTGGTTCCTCAAAAAGCTAAACACAGATTTACCATATGACCCTGCAACTCCGTTCCTGTGTATATACCCAAAAGTTTTAAAACAAGTATTTAAACAAGAACTTTAAGGATATTCTGCATGGCCTATAATAACGGATAGATATGCCATAAATACCTTTATTTTGCTTGCTTTATTTAATTACTAAGCATTCTGTCCACAAAGGCTTAGCCTTTGAAATTTATTGAGTATTTAGTAACGTGATCTCCTATCAAAACTGGTAAAAAGTATAGAAAAATTATTGGCAGGAGAACTTTCATAGTAACTATAAATATCAGGGAAGATCAAATAAGACAAACAGAATAATAAGACAATTACTTATTATCTGTGTTCCATACTTCTCTAAATCTAACTTAAAATTCATTTTCAATCCATATTTCTTAACATTTGGTGTTATCTTAGACTATGCATCAGTTTTTAAAATAAGGCTCTCTTTTTATCCCCAGTTATTGACAATAATGTCTATAGTTTTGGAAAGAATGGAATTGCAAAGTTTTTGATTTCACTGGCTGCCCTGGGCTTATTTTATTTCCTCATACTTTTTTGTGTGGAGACTACATCCTGGAGATTGAAAAACTTTGTCTTTAAAAACATTGTGTTTCGAGCATACAACACATTCCTAAAAGTCAAGAAGGTGAGTAACAGACTTTTGATACAACTGAAAAAAAGCTCAGTGTTAGGCCAGAAAGTATTAATTTGCATATTTCTATCTCTATTGTTTGATGATAGTATCATTTAATTATACCAAGATGTAACTTGTACTAATTTGAATTACAGCTCTTTCATCTTAGTTCGTATTTTAGGGTCTAAGCTTTGAATCCTCTGCCAACCAGGAAACTATTTGTAATGGACTGACTATGATAAAACACATATGTATATGTATTACTTTAAAATGTATTTGGTTGCAATTATGGAACTTTTTATTTTTTTCTTCCTTTTTTTTTTTAATTTATCTTTATTGTTGAATGTATTACAGGTGTCCCATTTCCCCCCCCAATTGACCTCCTCCACCTCACTCCCATCCCCTCCCCAGGCCTACACCCCATTGTTGACTGTGTCCATGGGTTATGCATATATGCATATAACTTCTTTGGTTAATCTCTTCCCACCCTCCACCTCCCTTCCCTCTTTCCTCTAAAATATGATCGTCTGTTGCCTGCGTCAATGTCTCTGGATCTATTTAGTTCGTCAGATTCTTTTGTTCATTAGCTTCTTCTTAGAGAAGACCCTTCAACATTTCCTGTAGTGCTGGTCTGGTGGTGATGAACTCCTTTAGCTTTTCCTTGTCTGAAAAGCTCTTTATCTGACCTTCAGTTCTACATGATAGCTTTGCTGGGTAGAGAAATCTTGGTTGTAGGTTCTTGTTTTTCATCACTTTGAATATTTCTTGCCACTCCCTTCTGGTCTGCAAAGTTTCTGTTGAGAAATCAGCTGACAGTCATATGGGTGCTCCCTTGTAGGTAACTAACTGCTTTTCTCTTGCTGGTTTTAAAATTCTGTCTTTGTCTTTAACCTTTGGCATTTTAATTATGACGTGTCTTGCTGTGGGCCTCTTTGGGTTCCTCTTGTTTGGGACCCTCTGTGCTTCCTGGACTTGTAAGTCTATTTCTTTCCCCAGGTAGGGGAAGTTTTCTGTAATTATTTTTTCAAATAGGTTTTCAATTTCTTGGTCTCTTTCTTCCCCTTCTGGCACCCCAATAATACGAATGTTGGGCCTCTTGAAGTTGTCCCAGAGGCTCCTTATACTATCTTCATATTTCTGGATTCTTTTTTCTTTTTGCTCTTCTGGTTGGGTGTTTTTTGTTTCCTCATGTTCCAAATTGCTGATTTGATTCTCAGCGTCCTCTACTCTACTGTTGATTCCCTGTAAATTATTCTTCATTTCAGTTCCTGTAGCCTTCATTTCAAATTGGTACTTTATTATGTTATCGATTTTCTCAGTTATTTCCCTAATAGTCTGCTTAAACATCCTTATAAACAAAATTCTGAACTCTGTATCTGTTAGCTTGCTTGGATCTATTTCATTTAGTTCCTCTTCTAGAGATTTCTTCTGTTCTTTCCTTTGTGACATGTTTCTTTGCCTCCACATTTTGGCTGCTTCCAGGTGTTTGTTTCTATGTATTAGGTAGAGCTGCTATGTCTCCTGGAATTTGTAGAGTGGCTGTGTAGTAGGTGTCCTGTAGGGTCCAGTGGCTCAGCCTCCCAGTCACCTGAGCTGGGCCTTCTAGGTGCTCCCCTGTGTGGGCTGTGTGCACTGTCCTGTTGTAGTTGAGCCTTGGATGCTGCTGGCTTCACTGCAAAGATTTGACCCCCAGGCCAATCAGCTGTGAGGACCAGCTGCAACTACAGCCAGAGAGCTGCTGTGCTGGAGGCACCCCATGGAACAGGATTTACTTCCGTGGGGCTTTGGTGTTCACCAAGTGCGCCTCTTAAGTGTCACTCATGGATGTGGTAGGTTTGTCATCCAGCGTGGTCGAGTCTGACCACCAGGTGCACTGTCTCCGGGGCCTCAACCTTCATGTGTAATCTAACAAACTAGCCTGGTTCTCCTCGGTATCTGGAAATCAAAGTAAACTGAATTTCCTATGCTCTTTAAGTTCACTCTCAGTCTTTTTAACATTTAAAATTAGAAAAAGTCACAACTGTCCATGAGAAGCGAAAGATAGTTCATGAACCATAAAAAGTGAAAAACATTACATCTTCATTGATAGATTTTTCTTTCAACACTGGTAATATATAACATCACTGCCTTTTTTAATAATTTATCTTTTATTGTTGAAAGAATTACAGATGTTCCTTCTTTTTCCCCATTTACCCCTTCTACCCTGCACCCACACCCCGTCCCAGGCCTTCACCACACCATTGTCTGTGTCCATGGGTTATGCATTTATACATATAAATACTTTGGCTAGTCTCTCCACACCCACCTACCCACCCCCACCTTCCCAGACACCACTGCCTTTTAGACCTAATTGATTCTATGAAGTGGAGTATTGATTTCACAAAAAGTTGGCTATTAAGCTTGTTGGTCTTTTTTTTTTTTTTAAATATGTCTTTATTGATTTCAGAGCAAGGAAGGGAGAGGGAGAGAGAGAGATAGAAACATCAATGATGAGTCACTGATCGGCTGCCTCCTGCATAGCCCCTACTGGGGATGGAGCCCACAACCGGGCATGTGCCCTGACCCGGAATCGAACCCTGATTGCCTGGATCCTAGGTGGACACTCAACCCCTGAGCCATGCTGGCCGGGAAGTTTGTTGATCTTTTTGTGTTTAAACCACTTGGAGTTCATTTAAATTCTTGGATGTATAGATTAATATTTTTCATGAAATTTAAGAAATTTTTGGCCATTATTTCTTGACATATTTCCATTACATAAGTGAGGTCATATTAGACTTTGATTCACACAGTTATTAAGAAGGTTAATTATCTGTGAAGGGCACATGCCCAGCACATAATAAATAATAAATGTTGGTTTTTAGTAGGAGCATTATTGTTGCTTATTAACACATTTATTTTCCTCCTCTTCCGCTGCCACAAAACTTCCCAGTGTCCCCTATTTCAATAACTAACACTATCACTTCTGTATTTGTTGAACAGAGAAACCTGAGACTTGGCCTTAACTCCTTTTTCAAGTTTCATCCCTAATATAATCTATCTAAAACCTATGTACATGTCTTTCACTTTGTTTCAAAAGGTCTTCTTGGTACTTGATGCTGGAATCAAACATTTTCTCTGGTGGCTGCTATATATGCCCCAGAAAAATCAAAGGATTGAGTGCCCCCCTGTAATGTATATCATAATGCACTGTCCAGACCCCCATGCAGTGGAGTTGGCACCCCACTTCTGGGAGTGCTGGCTTCAGACAATTCAGCTGTCATCATCTTGATGGATGCTTCAGCTGCAGAGAGCCTCCTCTCCCAAAGTGACAGTTCTTCCCAGATTACCTGCATCCAGTCACAGATGCAGGAGTAAAATGTTTGATCATCTCAATGCCACTCAAACAGCATCAGGCTTCCCACTGGGTCAGCTGAGGATGTCATTTGACCTGCATCACAACTTGATTTCTACCCCCTGCCTACTCCTGATTTTTTTTTCTCCCTTCCACAGGTGTTGGTCCCAAGAGAACTCCACCTGCAGCAGTTAGTACCAGGAGAGGTTTGAGAAGATACAGAGTCAGATAGGATTTTAGTGAGGTCCACATCACGGGTGGTAAAGGAAGTATAATAGCCTCTGGCTCAAAATAATGGTCCAATTGTAAAAACTTTTATCAGCTCCGAATTGGGGGGATATACCAGAGGAACAGAATGCACTGACTGGTGCGATATATCAAGTATTCTTTTTTTTAAATGGGGAAATAGCAACTGTAAGAACAGTGAGATTATAAGTTATTGGTAAGCTCTTGGCTTCATAGAATAAAAAGCTGAGAGTTAGTAGGAAATTGAAAGCCAAGTGTGAACGTGAAAGAGGCTCTTTGATATCTTGTAATGAGTCTCTCATTTCCTGCCATGAAAGAGCAGAAAAAAACGAGTGCTATGATCAAGATCTAACTTTCAGATTAGATGAGCTCCAGGAAGATCAAACTCTCAACCAAGACAGATCTGCTCTGCCAAGATCTCACCTCCTGTTAAAAAAGAGTGAAACCCTAATCCACCAGATGGAGACATCTGAGTTAATGACCCTCGAATCCTGATTTCCCTGAACACTCTGAGTGTACAGAGGTGGCACTATCAGATGAGGAAAATACAGAGGCCTCCACTGCAAAACAGCATATGCTCATTCACAGTTGTTTTGGTAACCAACCATTTACTCTTTTAGCAATCAATAGAACACAAGAAACAGAAAATTAATAAAAAAACTGCAAAACACCATCTAACTAGATCTAATTGGCATTTAGAGAGTATTGCGCCCAATAAGAGCAGTACACATGGGACATTCACCAAGACATGCCATTCACAATTTTAAGAGATTTGAAATAATGCAGAGGATTTTTTCTGATCATCATGAAATTAAACTACAATTTAATAACAGAAATATAACAGGAAAATCTCTAAACACTGGGAAATTAAGCAACATGCTTCTCTGCAACCTGTCAGTCAAAGTGGAAGTTGCAGAAGAAATTAGAAAATACTTTAAACTGAATAAAATGAAAATACAACATATCAAAACTTGTGGGGTGCACCTAAAGCAGTCTTTTAATGGGAATTTATAGCATTAAATACTTACATGAGAAAAGAGAAAAGGTCTCAGTTCAATAACTGAAGTTTGTACCTCAATAAATTAGGAAAGGAAGAGTGAAATAAACTCAGAGCCAACAGCATTTAAGTAAACAAAAATAAAAGAAATGAATGAAACTGCAAATAGAAATACAATGGAGAAAAATCAGGGGATGCAACAAAAAACTCATTCTTTGAAAAATGATTAAAATTGATAACCCTCTAGCCAGAGTGACTATAAAATAAAAATAAATGACACATGATCAGCAATGTAAAGGGAAAGAAAACACCACACGTGGACAATCTCACTGATAAATTCTACCAAAAAATTAAAGAAGAAATAGCATCAATTCTTGCAAAGGAAAGCATAGAGAATATAGTCAATAATATTATAATAACTACCTATGGTCCCAGGTACTGGAAATATCAGGGTAATGCTCTGTAAAGAATACATTTGTCTAATCACTATGCTGGACACCTGAAACTAATAGACAGTAATATTGAATATAAACTATAATTGAAAAATAAATTTTACAAACAATTCTACACAATTTCTTCTGTAATGTAAAAGAGGTGGGAGCATTTTCCAATTCTCTTTATGAAGCCTTATTACGCTAATACAAAAATCAGAGAAAGTACAAGAAACCAATATCCCTCATGAACACAGACACACATCCTCAACAAAATATTCACAGGTAGAATCCGGGAACACGTGGAAACAATAGCACACCATGAGCAAGTAGGTTTATTTCATAAATGGAAAAGCTACTTTAATATTTGAAAATCAGTCAATGTTACCCATGTATTAAGAATGTCAAGAAGAAAAACCACATGTTTATATCCACATTTCACACCCATTTACATGAAACTGTCTGCAAATAGGGAAGGGAAAGAACTGTCTCAACCTGCTTATCCGCGGGCCCGCTTACCTATGTGAAGCCTACAGTCCACCCGGCGGGGAAGGACTTGCTGCTTCCCCCTGGGACTGAAAGTAGAGCAGGAACCGTCTCCCTTCCCCTCCTGTGCAACCAATTTCAAAACTGGAAAAGAGCAGTTTTCTTCTCATTCTTTTGATTGTTATGTTCACTGAGCTGATTATATTCTCCAGCTCCACTCCTCCTTAACCAGTACTATTAACTGAGTACTTGATGTAAAAATAGGCAATTCAAATCAATCAACTTTTGCTCAAGCAGTACCAATTACTAATCACAACGTTACCAGACGGGCCGGCGGAGCAGGTCTGCCTCAGGCCGGCCTGTAGCGTGTGGGCCTTTGACTTCCTGCAGGGAAGATTTCACAGCATGAGTCCAGGTGGGTTTGAGAGTATGTTTATTAATGCTGGGGACAGTGAAACGAAGGAATTAGGGTGGAAGAAACAACATGGAGAGCCCAGGGGGGCTCTGCTTTGGCTCCCTAGAAATGCTATAGGAAAGCAGGGAGCCTGGGCAGGGCTGCTTCAGCTCACTGGGAGTCAGAGAAAAAGGGGCCTTGGAGACAGGATCAGGGGGTGAGCCCGGGTCTAGCTGCTGCTGCCCACCGCTCCCCTGGTTGCAGGTTTCATGGGGACCTTAGAAATAAGAATTCATGCCTGGGGAGGCGCATGGGTGTGCTCTAGAGCGAGCCTACATTGAGTCTTTGTCCCGAGGGCTTTTTACCCATTTTTTTCTCTATAGGCAAGAATCTTAGGGGAGGGTTTCAGTAGAATAGTCATCAGCTTCCCAGGTGCATTTTTAATATGCTAATGCATCAAAATGAGTGGATAGGGGAGTTTTGGATAATTCTTTGGTCCATTTTACTATTTTACTTTTATCTTAAGTCTGTTTGGCTTTAGCGGGGTTTTTGTTACTTGTCCCCCAGACTTCATCTGTCCTTGGGTTTAGCTGCACAAAAGGCATTAATCGGGTCTCCGTTCTCTGTTCCCCAGGCCAGGGTGATTTAAGCTGTGCATTCTCTCCTTAAGGAGGAGGGTATGAACCCTTTGCTCTCAAGTGTCCTTGGGTGGGGAAGATAAGACCTTGCAGCTCACAAGCTGGCTGCTAGCTGCCCAGACTGTTTGGCCTCGTTTAATTTTCTTTCTCAGTTTCTCCATTCCACTCACTGGGGGATTTTCCTAGCTGCTTACTATCCTGCTGCAACAAGACATGCCGAGTCGTTTCATTTCTGCTCTTTCACTAAGGTCCCAATTGCTGACAGTGGCCTTTCTTCCTGTCCCTGCCCTGTGCTTATTCTCTCAATAAATCTTCAGTTCTTCACCCTCAGCTCAGCCTTCCCTGAACAAGGAAGAGCCGTTAGTCTCCTCTCTTGATTCCCATGGTCTCTTGAACATCTTTAGTTGTAACAAATCATACTAGACGATGGTTTCGATATGGCTTTTGTTTTCCGTGAAGTGTCCATATTATGGCAAGAAAGTGCTGCTTCCTCATAGTGGTAGAAAATTTTGTTCATGTCTGTAGTTTTGAAAAGTAAGCAAACCAAGAATAAATTTGTTCATAAGAACTCAGGAAATTGGTAGGAAGGCTATTGAAAATTAGTCCAACATTTTCTGACATCCTTAAAATTACTCCTTCAGGTCAGCTTTCAAAATACCACTCAGTCTGTACAAGTTATCTACAATGTATTCACATCTGTGGCCCTTGTTTTGAAAATATAGGCTACAGTGCCCATCCAAGTGAGCAAGGAATATATGGATAAAAACACAGAAAATGAAAGGAAGAAAGTCTTGGCGCAGCCTCCTACGTTGAACAACAGCCCACTGCTTCTCAAAGAGCTAATGAAGGTAAAGTCACTCAGTGACACTATTGCCTGAGCGTCATCCCTGCCCAGAGTTCATTGGTAGTGTTACTAATTTGTTGGACTTCTATGGGATCAATGTATATTCTGGTAAAATAGGTGGCTGAAAGGGAAAGTGCCCTTGTAAAACTGTTGACAGCAGCAATCCACAGGTGTCTGAGGTTATAGTTGTGGTTGACTTACCATCAGTGCTTCATATGGTGTGATTTTTTAATGTTCTCAGATTTATTTTAAGTGTCCAGTTGTAAAGGCTGTAAGAAATGTCTCCCTTGTCGTCCAAAATTCTGAATGCTTTGGATTACTTGGATTAAATGGAGCTGGAAAAACCTCTATATTGAAAATGTTAACTGGAGATGAGACCCCAACCTCTGGAGTTGTGTTAATTGATGGCATGAGCATCACTGAAAATATCAGGAAGGTATGTGCGGTCCTGATCGCTGAGTTGGTGCCCCAAGGGAAGGGGTAACCAAGCAAGTGGGTGGGGGACATGAAGGGGAAGCTGGAAGCATTCAGATATATAAGATGATAGATAGATGATGATAGATTAGATAGATAGATGGATAGATAGATAGATAGATAGATAGATAGATAGATAGATAGATAGAGATAGATGATAGATAGATAGATGATTGATAGATAGATGATAGATGATAGATGATGATAGGTAAATGATAGATATGATAGATGATAGATGATAGAT